TCTTTGAAGGTAGTTTATTTTCTCTCTGGCTTCTTTTTTTAAAGATTTATTTATTTATACAAGAACCAGGGTACAGGCCAGATGTGCGGGAGGGTGAGAGGATTCACTGGAGACAGAGTGGGGAACAGAACAGGCAGACTGACTGAAATACACTGCTGAGGGGAGCAGCGGGCGAGACAGGAGAGCTCTGCTACGCGTTGTGGGTTGCTCCATGGCCGTCTGGGATCCAATCAGCGCTGCAGAGGCTGCAGACAGCTTCACAGCGCTGTGCTCAATCACCTGCGCTCAACCACCTGTGCCACCAGGGAGGCCCTTTCTCTGGCTTCTTAAAAAGTTTTTCTTGATGTTTTGCAGTTTTGCTATAATATGTGTAAGGGTGGTTTTAAATATTAATCCTTCTTGGGATTTGCTGGACTTCCTGAATTTGAGAACTAGAATTTGGTCATTCTTTTTTTTTTTTTTAATAATAAATTTTATTTTTATATTCCCCATACAATTGCAGCCCCCCCCATTCTGACCCCAATCCCTCCCCTCCCGCCCCCGCCCCCCTAAAAGTGTCTCTGGTTCATAGTTTTTGTTGATTTTGATTTTCACTTTCTTATAGTTATTCATTTTCCTGGTCCCTTATTTAAGTTTTCTAGATTCCTGCTATGAGTGAGACCATCGGTATTTTTCTTTTTCTTTTTGGCTTATTTCGCTGAGCATGATCCCTTCCAGCGCCATCCATGTTGCTGCAAATTGCATGTGTTTATCTTTTTTGAATGCTGAGTAATATTCCATGGTATATATGGACCACATCTTCTTGATCCAGTCATCTATTTTTGGGCATTTGGGTTGTTTCCAAAGCTTAGCTATTGTAAACAGTGCTGCTATAAACATAGGGGTGCAGGTGTTCTTTGGAATTGATGTTTCTGTGTCCTTTGGGTAAATACCTAGGAGTGGAATTGCTGGATCATATGGAAGCTCTATGTTTAGTAGGTCCAGAAATCTCCACACAACTCTCCACAGTGGTTGGACCAGTTTGCACTCCCACCAACAGTGCAGAAGAGTTCCTTTTTCTCCACAACCTCGCCAACATTTGTTGTTGCTAGTTTTTTTTTTTTTAATATGTGCCATTCTCACTGGTGTAAGATGGTATCTCATGGTAGTTTTGATTTGCATTTCCCTGATGACAAGTGATGTTGAACATTTTTTCATATGCCTGTTGGCCATTTGCATTTCCTCTTCAGAGAAGTTTCTTTTTAGCTCTTCTGCCCATTTTTGGACTGGATTATTTTGTTGTTGTTGAGTCTCATCAGCTCTTTGCAGATTTTTGTGATCAGTCCTTTATCATTAGTGTTGGGTGCAAAAATGTTCTCCCAGTTGGTGGGGTTTCTCTTTGTTTTTGTTATTGTCTCTTTTGCTGTGCAGAAGCTCTTTAATTTGATGTAGTCCCAGCTGTTGATCTTTGCCTTCACTATCACTGCTTTGGGTGATGTGTCTGTAAAGATGTCTTTGATGTGCAAATCACGTAGTGTTTCGCCTATATTTCCTTCTATATATTTTATGGTTTCAGGTCTTATGTCTAGTTCTTTAATCCATTTTGAGTTGATTTTTGTGTATGGGGTGAGGTAGTGGTCAAGTTCATTCTTTTGCATGTAGAGACCCAGTTTTCCCAGCACCATTTATTGAACAAACTTTCTTTGCTCCAATGCATAGTCTTTGCTCCTTTGTCAAAGATTAGTTGACCATAAATCTGTGGGTTTATTTCTGGATTTTCTATTCGTAGAATTTGGTCATTCTTCCTCCATAGACTATCTCTCATTCTCTGCTCTGACGCTCTGATTAGACGTCCTTTCAACCTGTACATCTTTATTTACTTGCTAGCTCATTAAATCACTTCAAGAAATCATTTGAATATTTTAAGTTTTTCCAATGATAAGGTATATCCAATTATCTAGCTGCCTGGTCTACCACACTACCACCCAGACTTTTTCCACCTGCATATGAAACTATGTTTGATGAAGCAGGTAGTTTCAGAAAGAACAAAACCTTGAAGGTCCCTTGCATGTTTGAAAAACAACAGTTTATCAGAATTATCAGGACAGAGTCAGAACCACCTTTAGGTGTCCCTTTGTGGGAAGTACCTACAAGCTATTATCCATCAAAGGAGACTGGCCAGACAGCAAGACAGAATATTCTAGTCACATTAAGGACCAGCAATTAGTGATGGCTTATGATTTCATTAAATTATAACTTCACATTCTATTATTTACCATATAGTATTTTCAAGTTTAAAAATAACACATACACACACTGTTTCCCACAATACCACAGATCTCAAAAACATATCTGGACTACAAAATAAATGTAACAATTTATAAAAGAATTTATAATTTTAATATACTATCTGTCATTATCAGTGTTTCTGACAATGAATTTTTAAGTGCAGGTAACTACTGGATGAGTACTCAGTGTGTTGAAACTGTTACCTCCAAGGTGTTTGCATATGCTATTGCTTCTGCCTATAATGCTCTTCCTATCCTCTAAAACAGTACTAAAAGAGCGCCAGAGAACAATGACACCATGGGGAACAGGTCACTGTCTGTGTGTTCTCACCTGAGTACTCACAATTGCAAGACCATTCAGGCTCAGAGTATAACAATGGAGTTTATTTTTTAACAAACAAGAGATTGGAAAAACAGGAAGAGTTTCTAAGGCCACAAGTGGCCAGCTGTCTCACCCAAGATAGTATCTGTAGTATCCAGTAGTCCCAAACAAAGGCCACTCATCTACCTGTCCCATCAACAAGACCCTAGAGCTGCTGGCACAGCAGTCAGCAGCACACGAGGGTCCAAGTCACGATGGCATCTGGAGGTACTCACAGGAGGGACTGCTGAGGTGATACCGCATCAGCTCACAGCAGCAGTCTGAAGGTTGGGTTAGACAGCATTGGGCACTAGACTGGACAGTACCTGGCTCAACAGTACAGGAGGTTGATCAGAAACAGTAGACAGTTCTTAAAGGTGACCACAAACAGAGTGACCAGTCACCAGTGCCAGTCTGTACTGCTTATCAGTGCTGGTCAGCACAGGTCACCAAGTGGCAGTATCAGAAATACCACTTACAGCTCTTTGCAAGCCACTGGCCCTATTCAATAGCCAACAGCTCTTTGGGACACCACTGAGGCCAATGGTTCTGTTTCCAGGTAGAGCAAGAGGCAAGACAAGAGGTAAGTACAGGGACCAGGTTTCTGCGAAGGTCTACAGAGGTCTGGAGGCCTGCAGAAGTCTGGACATCTGTGAGGGAGTCTATAAAGTCCTGTGAAGGGCTGCTGAATCCCACAGAGGTCGTTTGCTTGATGTTTCTTCTTCAGAGGCCTTTTTTTTTTTTTTTTAAGATTTTTATTTATTTATGCATACAAGAACTGGGGGTATAGGCCAGACGTATGGGTGTGATAGGGTTCACCAGAGATAGAGTGGGGAGCAGAAGAGGCGGATCTACTGAAATACATTGCAGAGGGGAGCAGTGGGCGAGATAGGAGAGGTCTGCTGTGCCATGTGGGTTAGCTCCCTGGCTGGGGATTGAACTCATACTACAGCAGCTGGCAATAGCTTTATAGTGTTGAGACTTACTTAGCACCTTGAGCCACCAGGGAGGCCCCTTCTTCAGTGGCCTTCTGCTGAATACTTCTTCTTTGGAGCCTGTCTGCTGAATCCTTTTTCAGAGTCTGTCTGCTGAATGAATGAAGCTGGCTCCTGCACTGTCTTATATCCTCTTCAGGGTCCCCACCTTACAAGTCTGACTGAACTGTTTTTCAATCCTAACTTTTTGATTGGAGCTGGTTACTCACCAATTAACTTGTTCCCATTTTCAATCTGTGTAATGCTCAAGGTTTGAATGATAGCCGGGGAGCTCAAACCTGACTGATCCATTTATGATCCTGGTGTGAGATTTAAAACAGAATGCCCAGACCCTGCCTAGACCCAACCTTCAGTGAGGTCAGGGAAGGCTCATGGGCGACAGCCAGCCTCAGTGGGGTCAGAGGGAACCCTGCTGGATTCCCCTCAGCAGGGCCAGGTTTAACAATTCAGGGGTCCCTGCAATAGTGCTAGGACAGAGGTCCCAGTGATTATAGAGGGCGCTGTTACCAGGAAATCATGATGTCAGCCTGGTACTAGGAGGCCTCTCTGCCTATGGCTCCAGGGAGTCACAGTGCTGGAGCTGCCTGAGCAGGGCCCAACACTGCTCCCCATGGCGCTGAACCAGGAGCCATGAGGATAGGCAGCAAATTCTGGTGCTGGCTGGTGGAGGCCCCAGTGGGGCCACTTACACTGGGGGTAGTGGGCAGTGAAACACTTGTCACCACAGTGGCAGCTTGCATGTGCTGGGTCAAGGGAGGGTTGCCCACAGGCGGTGGGCTACGGCAGTGTGTGCCTCAGCCGCAACTAAGCTGGCTTGCTGGCCTGGTATGTCATGGGCCTTCCTCCCACCAGGCTGGGTAAGCCTCTCTGCTTCAGTCCCTGCAGGGCTGCTCACATTGAGACAGTGGGGGAGGAAACTGCCAATGCAGCCTCCAGGCACTGCAGGGATCTTTATGCTCCTAGCTCCTCCTCATCAAGCTTTCACATTATACCTCAAGCCAAGTGTGCCTTGATGTTTACTTACATTGAGTTCTCTTGCTATAGGTTTCCTAGTTTTTTCACCATGATTTCAACAACATATGAGGGTCTAATACTAGCTCCTTTTTTTCCTGAGCATTGTGGTTAAGGAAAAACAAAGTGGGCAAATCACTAAGAGGAAGGATGACTTTCTGGAAAAGGTAGCATTTATGTTGGGCTTAAAAGAAAGGTAGAATTTAAGTAAGTCAGTGGCAGAAAGCCGTGAGAAGTTAGGCTATAAAAATGGGGGCAGCCAATACCAAGGCTGCTCAGGTGTGATGAGACAAGACTGTAACAGAAAGTAGATGTCAAACAGGTGCCTAATTTGACTGAGTTGGCAGCTAACCCTCACATCCTCACCTGTGCTCACTGAAGACATAGTTCTCCAGAATAATCTTCTCTAGCAGCTCAATCAGCTCATTTGGTAGATCAGCTGTCATGAAGGCTTTGACAGTGACTGAAATCTCTTCCGGATCCTGTGTTTCTGGCAATGCCGTTTGTACAACCTGGTTTTAAAAATTATTTGAAAGAATTTGGTTAGGAAAATAAGTCAATTCAAGACTGTATTTTTTTTTTTAAAGATTTATTTATTTTATGCATACAAGAGCTGGGGCACAGGCCGGAGGTGTAGGGGGGGTGAGAGGATTCACCAAAGACAGAATGGGGAATAAAATAGTCATATTGACTGAAATACTGCTGAGGGGAGCAGTGGGGCAAGTCAGGAGAGGTCTCCTGTGCTATGTGGGTCTCCTCCCTGCCCGGGGATCGAACCTGTGCTTCAATGGTGCAGCTAGCTTTGTAAGGCTGCGGCTTAACCCTCTGTGCCACCAGGGGGGCCCTCAAGACTGTATCTCTGAAGCTAAACTGAAGGGAAGGAAACCTTCAAGACAGTTTGAAATATTCACAGAGAAAATGGGAAATTTTTCAAAGTAGAAAAGCAAAGATGGTCAAAGGTGTCAATTGCAGTCATTTGCTATATTTTGACAATTATTTTTTTTCTCTCACATCAAAAGAACTACAGACTCTAATCTCTGCCCCAATGACCACACTGTCTAAATTTACTCCCAAGCCAATAACACAGTGCACTAAAAGGTAGTAGGATTTTTTTCAACATGTTTCCTTTCATCATTGTTTCTTAAGTCCATTATTCAAAGCACTTCTCTAGTGAAGACACAACAAGGGCCTCTAGTGGCTAGCTAAGAGCACGGCCACTGCTGTGGCCCAGCTCACTTCTGTGGGTGAAATGTATCCTGAGTCCTGGAATTATCAGAGCCATGCTCCAAGGGAAAGACCAACAAAACACTAGCCACAGGCTGTTCATCCATTTATGGGCATCTCACCTACAAGAAAACTTACAAATATGGTGGAAAGATATTTTTCCAAAGAGTATGCTTTCCAAACAACAAAAGGCTGGGCCCTCCCTGATGGCACAGTCGGTTGAGTGCCACACTGTGAAGCTGTCCGCAGCCTCTGCAGTGCGGGTTCGATCCTAGCTGGCCGGGGAGAAACCCACACAGCACAGTAGACCTCTCCTGTCTTGCCTGCTGCTCCCCTCAGCAGTGTATTTCGTCAGTCTGCCTGTTCTGCTCCCCGCTCTGTCTCTGGTGAATCCTCTCACCCTCCCGCACATCTGGTCTGTACCCCAGTTCTTGTATAAATAAATAAATCTTTAAAAAAATAACAATAGGGCCTCCCTGGTGGTGCTGGCGGTTGAGTGCTGCACTGTGAAGCTGTCTGCAGCTTCTGCAGCGCGGGTTCGATCCTGGCCAGCCAGCGAGAATCCCACATGGTGAGCAGACCTCTCCTGTCTCATCCGCTGCTCCCTTCAGCAGTGAATTTCGTCAGTCTGCCTATTTTGTTCCCCACTCTGTCTCTGGTGAATCCTCTCTGGTGAATCCTCCCGCGCCTTTGGCCTGTACTCCGGTTCTTAAATAAGAATAAACAAATCTTAAAAAAAAAAATAACAATAGGCTGGACACTAGCACTGTTCTCTTTGCACTATGTCCATGAGCCTTCAGTGACTTCAGGATCTATCATTTTCCCCCAAGTTTCTGGTATGCATCAGAGGTGGGCAATAGCAGAGAATTAAAAAGAAAGAACACACAAGTCTGAAGTGGTCTGACATAGCTGATTTGGCCATGAACTTTCAAGTGGCCACTGTATACTCAACAGCACCATAAAATGCAAAAGCTCTACTTATGAAGTTTATAATCCCAACAGGCACACAGAGGAGTTCAAGAGGCTATCACTGGAGACAAGCAAAACAGGAGGAAGCAAAGATGGTCAGAGCATGATTCACCTATCCAGGAATGTTTTCTGGCATCATGACATCTAGTTGTCAATTTCTGAAACTTAGAACATTTTAAATGCACACTAGTTGTTTTAAAGATAAAAGTAAATTTCCACCCTCTATTTGAGTTGACACAGGATGTACTAAGGTTACCTCAGGAAACTGCTTCCTCTAAGTAAACTTTCCATAATGAGTGTCTACTCCAGACTTAAGAACAGTCTGCCACTGCCCTCATGCACTCCCTCTAATTAGAAGGGCACCGCAGGAGAACATTGCCCAGGAGGTAGCTGTGAACATTCAGTCACAGCAGACATAATGACGGGACTAGCAGCTCCACACAGACACAGGGAGACCAAGAGGCACTCGCCAGTTTAGTTCACCACAGTGTGAAAGCTGCTCCTCCCCAGAGCCAATGTGATGTGACCTACAAGAAGCGCCAGACATTGGACCACATCTGAACAAATGTATTATCTGTAAACTCGGAGGGGGCTACCCAGTGGAATCCGAATGGACTCTGTCTCCGGCCCTTTTCAATGTCTTTATCAGGTTGGGCATAAATCTGAGAGATGGGTAAGCCAAAAACTGATCTGACAAAGGTTCAGAGTAAATGGGGCATTTACACATCTAAAACTGTTCTAAAATAAAAAAATAATAATGGCAGCGGGATGTGGAATAGTGGACAGACAACAAGGTCAAACTCAGTAACTGAGATAAAAGTGAAATCCAACCAGGGAGCTGAAACAAATATGCCCTGTACATTGGCAAAGGAAAGGGGGCACTTTAATTGATCACAACAGGATCAAGTTCTGTCAGTGGTCTTAACCCACCATTCAACAGTGCAACCAACAGCTGAGGACACAGTGCTGAGGGTAGTAAAGGCACTATCTGCTAATGTCTGAGTCTGCAGGATGTCTGCAAGTGGCCAAGGCCAACACCTGCCTGCCAGGCCGTACCTAAAAAGAACCCCGGCCCCAGCATTGTTCCCCAGCTCTAAGGAGGTGCTGAAAAGTCACAGGAGCACAAGGAGTTCCTCAACAAAGGGAGGCCTAGTTGAAACAAACTTTAGTTCACTCATTTCTGGCCATGACAGCTGAGCTAGAAAAAAAAAAATCAAGGATTCAACATGTAGTCATCAGATATTTCTTTTACCAGTGCTGAACATCCCTGCTTTAGATATCAGGGTCATTTCTGTGGCCTTAATAAAAAAATAGCTCCAAGTTAGCTCACCCTGGGAAATGAAGACCATTTTCAGGGAAGCTGCTTTGGGAGGGATGAGAGAGTTGCAAATGTTCACATTACTATCTAAGCACACATCTCAGGAAGTTTTAGATGTGGCAATTCAGTCACTTGAGTCACAAGATGATTGGAGGCAAAATGTGGGTTCAGGTGCACATACACATACCTGTTTCCGTGCCTCACCTGATCAATCAGCTGTCTCCTGAATGGGCTGGTCTCCTCAAGCACATAAGCCCAGAGCTCTGGATCCTTCCTATGCACCAGGTAGCGGGCCTCACTTTTGAACAGAGAATTCTCATTGCAAACCTGAAATGAGCACAGTATTGTGTTACACAAGCAGCCAACAAAAGGATGTTTCCTCTGACACTTGTTTAGTGGACAAACAGTGTCCCAGGACAGCACGGTGCTTGGATAAGGGATGAACAGCACCCCGAAGGGTTGACAATACACCTTGCAGAAAGACAAATTATCTCAGAGGCACATGTCTCAGTTTACAACAACTTAAAGGGGATGTGACTACCAAGTCCACCTAACTGTTGCTATAAATGCAGTCCAGGGCCTCCCCTGGTGGCCCAGCAGTTGAGCACTGGGCTGCGAAGCTGCCCACAGCCTCTGCAGTGCTGGTTCGATCCCCAGCTGCCGACAAGCGTCCCACATGACGCGGCGGACCTCTCCTGCGGCGCCCGCTGCTCCCCTCAGCAGTGTATTTAAGTCCATCTGCCTGTTCTGTTCCCCGCTCTGGCTCTGGTGAATTCTCTCACCCTCCCATGCTTCTAACTGTACCCAGTGCTTGTATAAATAAATAAATAATCTTTAAATGCAGTCCAGCAGAATCTCTGAGATGATGAAATGTCCTAGAGTTATACTGTTCTATGCAAAAACAGAGTACTTAGAATGTGGTGCAATGAAGGAATAACTAAATTTTTAATTTTAGTTAATTTAAATACTCACATGTAGCTAGCTCTAAACTGTCTCTAAAGTGTTAACATATTAGCCCAGGGCTTTGTATAAAACAGATTATGCTGCAACATTTCAAGGTCTATAAACTTTAAAATATGCCCACACTGACAGAATGGTTACACACTGACAGAATGGCTCACACTGACAGAATGCTCTCCTGAATGGTTACATCTTCAAAATATCAATTGTCCACTGAAACACCCCAATTTCAGAGCATATTCAAGGGCCTGGTAGGAATCAGATTTGAGCAGATGACAGGAACAAGGCTAAAGTGACACCATGCAGACTGCTCAGGAGGCCAGAGGCAGGTAGGCCTGGCACTAAGCACAGTAGCCTTTCCTGAAATCTTACCATATCTCTCCTAACACAGCACACCTTAACAACCATTGCTTTTCAATCTGAACTCTTACTAAAAGGCCACACTTCTTTGTAGGACAGGTAGGTACACAGATCATCAAAAGGTCACTAAACTACTCTTTAATAAAAAGGTGGTAAATTTAGCCCAAGGCAGCAAACTAACTAAAATCCAAGATTCATACAAACTGCCCCAGAGGCTGTCAGATGAGGGGCTATGTCCATCCAGCTTATTATATCTGTGGTCAGGGTCCAAAGCTAGAGGATGAGAAACTGCTGAATTGCTCTTGAATTCTGGCTTTGTGCACTTGACGCCCTAAAAGAGTCCTTGAAACACCTTAGTTGCTGGGTTTCTACCATGTTGTCAAATACTCAGAAGAGCTCCCAGATAACATAATGGATCCACTTTTGCCCTCAGGACACCATGCAACACTGAGGACTGTAAATAGCAGACTGCCAGGTTAGTTCAAGCTGGCCAGGCCAGGCCTACAAGCATAAAGCAAGGAAACAGGTAAGAAAGGTGAGAAACAAGATGTCGGAATTCAAAGAAAGCCACATTTACAGAAAAGCACCTGCCAACCCACCATTGAAGGGGTTCAGAGGAAGCCCTCATCAGTTCCCAAAGAGCATGCATCTGAAACCATGTCATAGGAGGCCAGAATAACAACCTGGGCAGTTAAAGTATCTGCTGCCCACCTTGATGAGCTCAAGGTCACATTGCCCCCTCTCATAGGCCACACAGGCCAGATGCGGGTCCCGTTTCTCACAGTAGTGGCCAATCACGTGGCTGTCGTAATGGGCATTCTCTCTCAAGAAGTGCTCGGGTTTGCTGTTGCTGTCAATGTAGATCTTAGCAAGTGCATTGTGAGTGGCAGGCTCTTCACAGCCATCATGACTACGGGACTCCAGCCATGGGAGCAGCAGCTTTAGCCTTTGAAGGAAGGAAGAACACTATAAAAGGTGCAAACCTCTGGGGGCCCCCCAGACTTTAATAAGGAAAAAAAAACTAAAAACAACCTCTCTCATTCCATTAACTTCAGGTTGTTCTAGGGACCAAGACAGACTTGATTTCCAAACTGATTTCATTCTGTAAGTTTTCCCCCAAGGTCTTCGGTGCCAAGAACAAATAACTCACTACGAAATCTAAGATTTGTTATATGAAAAACCAGCCATGGAGACCACCAGTGATGAGACTGGGAGGCTGACAGCAAAGGGATCTTGGAGAATCAATTAGAAAAGTAACAAACCACAGGAGCAAGGACGACACCACGCTAAGATACCTTACCTGTTTCTTTTTTCTACTTCAGCCACTAGCTCATCAGTAGAGAACTGTCCTTTCACATCCATGATCAAGTTTTTAATTACTTCCTCAGAACAATCCACATCAAGCAGTCCTCCAACAACAGCTGGGATCCGGCTAGGGTTAACCTAGAATGGTCAGGGTGGTGATTTCAGTACTGAATATACACATCATTGCTACAGCCCTCTAAGGCCTGGAAGTATGACTATCTGACAGGGCTCCTGTGATGGATGAAGTAATGTGCTCCTCAGATTCACATGCTGACACTCTAATTACCAATGTGACTGTATTTGAAGATGGGGTCTTGAAGGAAATAATTATGGGTAAATAAGATCATAATGCTGGGGCCCTAATCTGATAGGACAGATGTCCTCAAAAGAGGAAGAGACACCAAGGGCAAACATGCACAGGGAAAAGGCCATATGTGGACACAGTGAGATGGTGGCCATCTGCAAGCCAAAGAGGGAGGTCTCAAAAGAAAATAACCCAAGTGGCAGGGTTAGCACCTTGATCTTGATCTTTGAATTTCTAAAACCATGAAATATAAATGTGTCACAAAAGCCCTCTGGTCTGTGATATATTCTGTTATGCTAGCCCAAGCTGACTAAGACATCACCCTTCAAATAACCATCTTAGACATGTTCAGGGGTTAGAAGCAGTCATGCAGATGTAGACTATCACCACCAACCACAGCACAAAGGCAGTCGGATATCATCTAGGAACCAGCAGTACCTTCTGAACGTAGATCTCGATGTATTTCTGCAGATTTTTGCGGTATAAATACAGAACAAGGTCATGGACAAAGTCAAACCTATCACACACGATGATGAGGGGAAGTTGGTCTGTGAGCTTGGCCTCCTGTGTCAGAAAGTGCAGAACAAGTCAGGCAGTGATGGCTTCCTCATAGGGGTGGCAGAACTGTTTTAGCTGCAGAACATTCCCACAGGAGACTGAGGAAGAGACTTAGTCCTAGACATCTGTTGTTTTAAGATGTTTGCTTTTGGGAAAGCAGTTTTTGTCTTGGTAAACAAGTGGAAAAAAGATGATGGTATTTGGCTAAGGAAAAAAAAAAAAACCTCAGCTAAATTTGGCAAAAACATTCCAAATTGGTCCAAAACCAAACATTTTTTTTTGGGTTAAGAAGCAGTTCATTATGCCTAAATCTCTGACTCAGAGTAGAGAGTGGCTGCTCTCAGGAATGCCTGCTGGTAAGGGGTACCTTACCCGCTGCCTTTCCCCATGCCTTACTCCAAGGTACATCACACCTATCAGAGTGGGACTGTCCCCAAACAGGTTAGCTTTTCACACCAGTAGCCTCCCCTTCTACCACACCTACAGAACATTTTTCAGACTTCCTAATACCTTGCAGTTATAGATGTGCCCATGTAATCTACTTTCTTCCAGTGGAGTGGGAACTAAAATATCCAGTGCCACTTTCAAGCAATACCCATGCAAACCTCCCATGCCAGCTCTTCTGTACGCTTTCTGCATCTAGATGGCCAGAAAGGTAATGTTCAGGGTAAAAGAGTCATCAGTCTGGTCCTTGAAACATGGTGAGAAAGAAAGCAACTCCACTAACCTCCATTTCCACCAGGAACTTGCTTTTTATGCCACAAGCACTGAGTGGTTTATCTGTTTCTGCAGTCTTACCTAGCCTAAGTAACAGGACACAGTTGGGATGTTGCGGAATAAACAAATTCCCTCCACATACACATCAGATAAATAACAGTAAAACATCAAGCTTCTTTCCACAAATGGATTGTGCAATAACCAGTGGGTTCCTCCAAGAACTTTAGACTATAAGGTTCTCTCCATAAAGGGCTCTGCAACTGGGGATCTAGGGAACACTGGCAAGACATACCCGGCTATCCAACTCTTGGGCAGTGTGACTGATGATGTTTTCAAGGAAAGAGCAATGCTTGACATACTCACCTTCAAGAAGTTCTTCACCCGCTCCGGGTTGTAGCAATTACTCTCCCGACATAGCCTCTCTACCTCCTTAATCTGCCCGATCCTACATGCAGCCTCAATGTACTTCAAGTGCACATCTGGATCTTGGCTGAAGTTCACAATTGAACCCAGGAAGTAGAAGAGACCTACAAACACCGAATGTTCTATTTTGTGCTCTCATAATATTCTGTAGCCTTCTCCATGAACCCAGCTGCCCTTGAGAGCCCTGCCTGCAATGACAAGGCCATTCTCCAAGTACATATATCTCACTCAGAACTTTTCATATATGTGGTATTTGTTTATTCTGGTATCTCCCCCAAACAACTAGCTAGATTATGATCAAATTCGGGTGACGTCTCAGGGATTTTTTTATGTAAAATGTGGGCTATATGTATATTTATATGCATATATGTATATGTGAGGGCCCAGTCACACCTCAGTGGTCATCTTCAAGAATAATTCAGTCTGAGGTTAACCTAAGAGGGCTATGTGCCCGCTACTCTAAAAAGACATGCCAGGAACAGAGAAAAAAGCAACAGCTCCAGACAGAAGTCTTCAAAAAATGAATCTGCTACCTGATAGCACACATGGAGGCCACTACAGAATGAACTACAAAGTGGTCACAGAGCATGGATATTCATCAGCGGTTGTTCATTTCATTTTTTTTTTTAAAGATTTATTTATACAAGCACTGGGTATAGTCAGAAGCAAGGGAGGGTGAGAGAATTCACCAGAGCCAGAGAGGGGAACAGAACAGGCAGATGGATGAAATACACTGCTAAGGGGAGCAGCAGCCATGGCAGGAGAGGTCTGCAAGCCATGTGGGACCCTCGCTGGTGGCCGGGGATCGAACCGGCGCTGCAGAGGCTGCGGGCAGCTTCGCAAGCCAGTGCTCAACCACTGCGTCAATGGGGAGGCCCCAGGTTGTTCATTTCTTAATCACTGAGCCAGCCATGAGGTACTGGTGTTAACAGCAAGACCAGTACACCAGAGAAAACTACCACTTTCTCTAAGAATGTCTTCAGCTGCAATCTGGGGACAGAACCCACAGCTCTAATACTACCCTACTGCCATCTCTCAGCCCAGTGTCACCCAATTGTTGCTTTGGCCTTTCTTGTAATGGCATCTTCTGATGAGAAGATCAGCTCCCTAAGGTTATGTTTTTGCCTTCACTCCTCACTTTCCTAGGCTCACTAGGTACAAGGCAGTAGCTTGATGCCCCACCAGACAAATAGGCATTTCTGTCCTGTACAGGCCAGATAGCCTCAGCCTGTCCCTAACAGACCCTACGCTGGGAAGTCCATCCCCTGGCCAGCACACTTTCTCTGTGTGCTATCAGAAGCCTACCAGTCTAGTATCCACACTCCACTGGAGCCTCCATGGAGCTCTTACACAGGGGAGTTCCCACCCTCTCAGGGCTATGGGCTCCAGCACCATGAGCTCAGGTTTCAGATAAATTCTGTGGCAGACCAAGTGATGCAGAGTTGCACCATTCTACAGAAGTTCCAGGGACACAAGTGGGATTCTATACTTCCCTACTGATTTCTTCTGCAAACATCAAAAAGGCTATCTAAGCTGAGTGACATACAAGATAGCAGGACCTGAGGTGATTAATGCAACATTCTGCTCCAGTCTTTGCAGGCAAATGATTAGGTTAGTCAGGCAGACAGTGACACCTGAGCAGTTGGCCAGAGGCTGAATGGTTTACCTTCGTAACTCTTGAAGGATTCAAAGAGCTCCACCAGGGACTGTGTGCCCAGCTGCTCATGGTACTTGGAGGCTACCTGCACGCACAGCTGAAGATTTTGTCTGATGCTGGCAGAAAGAAGAGTATGCAGGCATGCCAGAGAATCCTCCACTGATAAGGAGCCAAAGAAATTCACGAGCCACTAGGAAAAAAGGAAGAGTTTGTCTACAACTGTGTACTGTCTCTGATGCTACCAACACTGACAAAATAAGTACTTTTTTCCCCTTGGAAGTCAAAAATATTAAAAATTTCCACTTAAAATAAGAACTGAAAAACCACTATACCTCCTGGCAATAAGTGAGACCCAGGAGTAAACTTGGGATAAGACACTGACTTCAACTGTTCCAACAGCTCCCACAGACCCTGTGACACCCCAGTATTAATATTATAGCCTATTCTATAAATCAGAATGCAGTGACTGCTTAGTTTTCACTAACAGTTTCAGACACTCCTGCAAGGAGTGCCACTGTTAAAAGGTTTTCTTTAAACAAAGTAAAAATTGACAACAGAAAGAGGTGACATGGGCCCAGACATACAGCTAAACAAGTGGGATCTGTGCATGGGCTGAATGAAAATTGCTCGTGGCAGCAACAAGGCTCAAAATAGGGGAGACAAAACTTCCAACAAGAGAAGGTTGGGAGCATGTGACCCTACTGACCAGTGGACACTGTTCACAACAGGAGTGCCCCAGTGATGTGCCATACCTCGGGACTAAGGAGGTGAGTGTGGACCACAGCCCTCTTGATGTCATACATGTCAGTGTAGTGCTCCAGTGCTCGCTGCAGGAGGCCCGCCTTTTCACAGAGACGGGCAATATGGGCCCGATCGTAATGAGTAAACATCTGATTTCCAAGGATGGCATCCGCAACCTGTAAAACAGGAAGTCCAATAAGAAAGCCTGAACAGGTACCACCTTGCAAAAGCCACTATAGCCTGACTCCCTGCATTGCACAGCCATGGTAAAACCAACCATATTCTTCAGTATCATTGCAAGCCCTTGAGCCTCACCCCCTTGGAGCTGTTTACAAAGTTGTAAAGATAGCAGAAAACTTTTGTGCTCTGAGCAATGAGGAGAAAGGATTTGGTTATCAAGGTTCCTGCTTTCACAGAATTATTCCAGGATTTGTGGTGGCAAGTCCATCTATGGGGAGAAATTTGATGATGAGATTTTCATTTTGGAGCATGTCAACGGCAGATGCTGGACCCAACACAAATGGTTCCCAGGTTTTCATCTGCACTACCAAGACTGAGTGGTTGCATGGAAAGCAGTGGTCTTTGGCAAGGTGAAGAAGGGCATGAATACGTGGAAGGCAAGGAGCACTTTGGGTCCAAGAGTGGCAAGACCAGCAAGATCACCATTGCTGATTAGACAAATCTAGTGAATTTGACTTGTATTTTAAAGAAAGAAAGAACTGTAGGCAGAAAGAAAGCAAGCAAGCCTGAACAGGAGCAATAACTTTTTAAGAGCAGCAGCTCAACCATGCCCCCCAAAGTACAGCTCTGGACCCAGTGCTCACAGGATGGGAAGTTCAGACATTCTGCTGTCTAGACCCTAATCACAGCCATAACCCACAAGTGGCTGCTTGTGGGTTAGAGCAGAGCTCTGACTATCCTTCCAAATCACCTGAGCACCTTCACACAAGGCCTGTCCTCTCAAGTTGAAGAGCTGCATTGGCACACAAGGCTGTAGGGTCAGGTGTGTGCAGAAGATTGACACCCTGCCATGAAGCACTGTCATTGGTTCAGTCCAGGCTATCACTGGCTTTTCACCATCACACTGCTACAAAGTATTTCTACGTAACATCAATGTGAGGGCTCAAGTCTACCAAGATTTTGAACTCAGACCTCTGACTATTAACAGTCATCATTAGACCTGAAAAGAATAAATTCTATTTGTTTTGAGTATGTGTTTACATTTAAAAACCAACAAATGGGCCTCCCCGGTGGCGCAGCAGGTTGAGCAGCGCGCTGTGGAGCTGTCTGCAGCCTCTGTACGCGGGTATGATTCCCAGCTGGCTAGGGAGAAACCCACACGGCGTGGCAGACCTCTTCTGCCTTGCCCACTGCTCCCCTCAGCAGTGTCTTCGGTCCATCTGTCTGTTCTACTCTCCACTCTGTCTCTGGTAAATTCTCTCACCCTCCCACGCCTCTGCCTGTATCCCAGTTCTTGTATAAATAAATAATCTTAAAAAAATTAAAAACCAACAAACACTCCTAGAAAGAATACTGATGAGGCTTAACATTGTCTTTAAAAAAAGCAATCTTGGGCCTCCCGAGTGGCGCAGCGGTTGAGCGCTGGGTTGCGAAGCTGCCCGCAGCCTCTGCGGCACCAGTTCGATCCCCGGCTGCTCCCCAGCCATGGGAGGAGGGTCCCACATGGCGCGCAGACCTCTCCTGCCGCCCGCTGCTCCCCTCAGCAGTGTACCTCGGTCCTTCTGCCTGCTCTGCTCCCCACTCTGGCTCTGGTGAATTCTCTCACCCTCCCGCACTTCTGACTGTACCCAGTGCTTGTATGTATAAATAAATAAATAAAATCTTTAAAAAAAAATAAAAAAATAAAAAAAATAAAAAAAGCAATCTTTGGGCTAAGAATGGGTGGGTCAACACTTGGGAGTGGCAACGGTTGCCAGTGACCTAACACACTGAGTAAACCCACTCTTGAAATCTAACCAGAAGCTAGTCTGAATGAGTTGCACACCCTTCACCAGCTACCCAGCACATGCCTCCATTCCTTTTAGGATACAGAGCACCACCACACACGTAGTAACCACAGGCCGGTCTAACACCATGCTGCTCCAGGTTTATGGATGCTCTGCACTTCCTACAGAGAAAACAGTCCCAGCCACGGGCTGCACCCCTGCCCTTTGTTTCCTTTAGACCTACCTTTACTATTATTTTGAAATACTTCCCCCAGGTTACAAAACAACTTTGTTTAGAGAACCTAGAAAACAGAAATACCAGGAAAGAAATTACCAGACATCAGGGGAAGACTGCCCTGATATTCCAGGCAATGTGCCCAGCACATGCCTACCCAGGCTGCCTCCGCTTGGGGTTTGGGCTCTCCTTAGGTTTGTCTGCTGAGTTTCTGAGTGGGGCTTAGTTTCTGTTTCAAAGCTCATTAACTAAAAACTGTCACATAATATAATTAACAAGTCCTAACAGTCCAACAGAATACCAATGAGCAAATTAATAACATGGTAGCAGCTAACTTGTGGATCTGATAACCTAAAGTAACAAAACAACATAATAAACATTATTTTTAATTACAAAAACAATACATGATTAAATAAAGACAAATCAGAAGACATATAACAAGTAAACTTCTATAATCCCATCAACTTGGACAAACATGGTTAACAGCTTGACATAAATTACTCTAAATTCCTTTCCTAGGTATATATCCAAATTTAATGAAAATTAGCACATGCATGTGATTTGATCATAGTCACACATGGCTCCTCCCCTGCCTACTACCACCTTTTCAGGTCAAGAAATGCTCCATCACAATAAGATACCACTTCATACTCACTAGGATGGATATTATGGGGGAAAAAAATACTCAGAAAATAACTAGTGTTGGCAAGGATGTGGAGAAATTGGAACCCTCACACACAGCTAGTGGGAATGTAAAATGATAGCGCTGCAGTTGCTTGGAATACAGTATAGTGGCACCTCAAAAAGGTATACATGGGACTACCACATACATGGAGCAACCACATGATCCAGCAACTCCACTTCTCTCTGTATGCCCTTAAACAACTGAAAACAGGTACTCAAACATAATTGTACATGAATGTACACCACAGTACTAGTCACAATACCTAGAAAGTGGACACCATCCAAATGCTTGTAGATAGATGAGTGGAGAGGCAAAATATGGTCTACACATACATTGGAGTGGTATTCATAAAGAGGGATGAGATTCTGCAAGCTATAATGTGGATGAATCTTCAAAATAGAATGCTAAGTGAAAAAAGCCAGACATAAAAGGACAAATGTTATGATTACTCATACATGTATCATCGAGAATAGGCAAACAGAGAGAGACCGAAAGTATACCTGATGTTATTACCAGGGGCTGAGGCAGGAAATAAGCTGTGAAGAATGGAAACAGTTTCTGGTTGGATTAATAAAATGTTCTGGAAATGCTACACAACATTAAAAATGGACTTAGAATGGCACATTTTAAATGTTTTACATGGTAAACTTTTGTTATATGTATTTTACCAGGTGAAAAAACAAAACCAGAGAGCTGAATCCCCAATTGTAACTGTTTCTACTGAAGTATTCCAGGCTGGATTCAAGAAATTACTTGTAAGAAAGTGTTGGAGGGCCTCCCCGGTGGCGCAGCAGTTGAGCGCTGGGTTGTGAAGCTGCCCGCAGCCTCTGCAGCGCCAGTTCGATCCCCCGCCACTGAGTGAGGGTCCCACATGGCGCGCAGACCTCTCCGGCCGCCTGCTGCTCTCCTCAGCAGTGTACTTCGTCAGTCTGCCTGTTCTGTTCTCTGCTCTGGCTCTGGTGAATTCTCTCACCCTCCTGCGCTTCTGACTGTACCAGTACTTGTATAAATAAATAAATAAATCTTAAAAAAAAAAAGAAAGTTCTGGAGACTATCCACTTGTTACAGAGCAATCACAATATAAAACGAGTTGCCTGACTGTGGGCCTTCACCCGTGCGTTTAAAGGAGACTTAAACTGCAGGCACACACAAAAGGTAAATCAAAGGTTTATTTACAAGGAAAGGGGAAATGAGGAAATGAGTAACTCAGGGAGAAAAAGAGGGAAATAAATTCGCAAATGCGTCCTACCCATTCCACTGACCTGGAATCCCAAATGACCCACCAAGAGCTGGCTAAAAGCCCAGCACTGCGAGTCCAAGACCCCAGCTGACATGGCTGGTTATATCCCCAAACAGAAAACATGGCTGCTTAACTCCACCCCCTGGTCCTTACAACACTCCCTTTGGTGGTCATGGGATTTGGAGTCGGGGTGGAGTCCACAAAGCCTGTGTGGAGTTTGCAAAGGACATTGTTTCCCCCTAACACACTGAGGTAAAGGTAAACCTTTGGCATGAGCACCACCCAGACCAGAGCCTCTGTGTTCAGGTTTTCAAGTCCCACACACTCCAAAATGGCCATTCTGTCCCTTGGCTTCAGCTTTTATTATTTATTTATTTATTTTTAAACACTGTAGATTTTTTTTTTAATTTATTTATTTATTTGTTTGTTTGTTTGTTTGTTTTGTTTATACATGCACTGGGTACAGTCAGAAGCGAGGGAGGGTGAGAGAACTCACCAGAGCCAGAGCGGGGAGCAGAGCAGGCAGAAGGACCGAAGTACACTGCTGAGGGGAGCAGCGGGCGGCAGGAGAGGTCTGCGCGCCATGTGGGACCCTCCTCCGGTGGCCGGGGAGCAGCCAGGGATCGAACTGGCGCCGCAGAGGCCGCGGGCAGCTTCGCAACCCAGAGCTCAACCGCTGCGCCACCGGGGAGACCCTAGATTTTTTTTTTAAAGATTTATTTATTTATTTATACAAGCACGGGGTACAGTCAGAAGCGCGGGAGGGTGAGAGAATTCACCAAGCCAGAGCAGGGAGCAGAGCAGGCAGAAGGACCGAAGTACACAGCTCAGGGGAGCAGCAGGTAGCAGGAGAGGTCTGCACACCATGTGGGACCCTCCTCCGGTGGCCGGGGAGCAGCCGGGGATTGAACTAGTGCTGCAGAGGATGTGGGCAGCTTCGCAACCCAGCGCTCAACCGCTGTGCTACCGGGGAGGCCTGGCTTCAGCTTTTAAATGTCACTTGCCTGAGGTGCATGAATCAGGTTCATCTCCAGCAGACGAGTCTGGAGGCATCCCTCAACTGGACGGTTATTCTTCAAAGCATCCAACAAGAAGGAAGTACACTGCTGAATCAAACTGTTCTCCATGAAAACATCTACAATCTGAAGCAGATCACAAGTCACATTTTTATCCAAAGGAGATGGCTGTTTTCTTATTGAAATAGTTTCTAAAACTGAACCTCATTTAGATTTTAAACAATTAGTTTTTTTGTATTTTTTATGTCATTAAAACTCATGTAATTCATGATCACTGTTTACTAATAGGTAATTCTATAAAATTATATCATCTATGTCATATTCACCAACAGGGCATTTTACAGGAGAAGATTAAAAGGAAGTGCTGTTATAACATATGACTCCCCAGAATCCTCTGAGTTAGGAGTCAAGCAAACTTAACAATCCATATTTAATCAAATTTTAAAGACAGCTAATATGTCTAGCCCACATTATTCAGGAAATGGGAAAATTCAAACACTGACTTGGTCATCAGACATTTAAGTTAAATAGATGTTAATATGGGCCTCCCTGGTAGCGCAGACAGTTGAGCGCAGCGCCATCATACAACCAATAAGGGACTGATACTAAGATTTACAAAGTAAGGGAAGATATAAGTAACAGGGGAGATGGATCAGGGGTAGTATGGTGGTGGTGGAATTACAAGGACATTTGATGGGGAAAATCAAATAATGTCCAAAAATTAAAACAATGTAAGAAAATGAATAAATTTTAAAAAGATGGAAGTTTATATTAAAAATACTTTTAAGGGGCCGCCCCAGTGGCACAGCGGTTGAGCGCTGGGTTGCGAAGCTGCCCGCAGCCTCTGCAGCACCAGTTCGATCCCCGGCCACCGGGCGAGGGTCCCACATGGCGCGCAGATCTCTCCTGCCGCCTGCTGCTCCCCTCAGCAGTGTACTTCGTCAGTCTGCCTGCTCTGCTCTCCGCTCTGACTCTGGTGAATTCTCTTACCCTCCTGTGCCTCTGACTGTACCCTATGCTTGTATAAATAAATAAATAAATAAATAAATAAATAAATCTTTAAAAAAAATACTTTTAAAATATGAAATATAATCCATATGTAGACCGGAGTCTTCTTTCCTCTTGAAGTCTACAAAAATGTAACTCAAGCCCTGTAATCATGATCTCCAAAATATCTGAAAATTCCAAGATGTACAAACCTAATAGATCTATAATTATTTATATACAGGCTTTTGTTTGTATAACCTTGCTTCAAGTTTTGTAAAATACCTTTGTCTTACTCAGAGCTGCTTGTCTATAGTTTACTGAAGGTGACTTGTCATGTGTTTATACTTAAAAACTAAATTGGTTAATACTGAAAGTACAGCCTTATGTTCATCTAACCCCAATTTAGTCAGACACCCACTAAATGGAAGTCTGCAGGCTGGATGGCACTCACCATGACCAGATAGATATTCAGGTAATGTTCAGAAGAAAATATCAGGAGAAGATGTGGATTTGACTGGGAATGAAAGAGTACCATCCTAAAAAAAATATCATCTTCACATCCTACCATCAATCATCACGAAAAGAAAAGAGAACCTCAGGAACAAACAAATCCTCTAAAACTCCAAAACAAAGTTAAATGTAATGTACTCAAATAACAGAAGACAAGTTCCCTGGTATATTGAATTTTTAAATACTGGATGATTAACAGACAAATGAGAAGAATTGAGACTGGCAAAACAAAAATAAATAAAAGGATTTTTTTAAATTATTGTGATGACATTGTTTACATTATGATTCACAGATATAGGATCACACCAATTCAAATGTATGTCACTACACACATCTACCACAAAGATACCCAGAGTCCTTCACCACAGTCCATTGTGCCCACTCCTCACTTTACTTTCCCCTCTGTCCCTACCCCTCCAGTAGCCTCAATTTCTTTTTTTTAATATTTTATTTTATGTAATTCTTACATCATTTTTCATTTTTGCACAATGTATGCATTATCATTTTGGTTATATTCCCCATACAATTGTACCCCCCTTATTTTGACCCTAGTCCTTCCTTTCCACTTCTCTCCCCCTCACCCCCCCGTAGTGTGTCTCTGGTTTATAGCTGCTTGTTGATCTTGATTTTTACTTTGCATTAATTAGTCTTTTTCCTGGTCCCTTATTTAGGTTTTCTAAATTCCTGCTATGAGTGAGACCATCCGGTATTTTTCTTTTTCTTTCTGACTTATTTCGCTGAGCATGATCCCTTCTAGCTCCATCCATGTTGCTGCAAACTGCATGTGTTTATCTTTTTTTGATTCCTGAGTAATATTCCATGGTGTATATGTACCACATCTTCTTGATCCAGTCATCTATTTTTGGGCATTTGGGTTGTTTCCATAGCTTAGCTATTGTAAATAGTGCTGCTATAAACAGAGGAATGCAGGTGCCCTTTGAAATTAATGTTTCTGTGTCCTTTGGGTAAATACCTAGGAGTGGAATTGCTGGGTCATATGGAAGCTCTATATTTAGTAGTTCAAGAAATCGCAACACAGCTCTCCACAGTGGCTAGACCAGTTCGCACTCCCACCAGCAATGCAGGAGAGTTCCCTCTTCTCCACATCCTCGCCAACATTTGTTGTTGCTAGTTTTTTTAATATGTGCCATCCTCACTGGTGAAAGATGGTATCTCATGTAGTTTTGATTTGCATTTCCCTGATTACAAGTGCTGTTGAACATTTTTTCATATGTCTGTTGGCCATTTGCATTTCTTCTTCAGAGAAGTTTCTTTTTAGCTCTTCTGCCCATTTTTTGACTGGATTGTTTGAGTCTCATCAGCTCTTTGTAGATTTTTGTGATCAGCCCTTAACATTAGTGTTGTGTGCAAAAATTTTCTCCCAGTCAGTGACGTTTCTCTATGTTTTGGTCATTGTTTCTTTTGCAGTATAGAAGCTAATTATTTGATCTAGTCCCAGCTGTTTATCTTGTCTTCATTATCAAAGCTTTGGGCAACGTGTCTGGAAAGATGTCTTTGAGGTGCATGTCATATAGTGTTTTGCCTATATTTTCTTCTATGTATTTTATGGTTTCAGGTCTTCTGTCTAGTTCTTTAATCCATTTTGAGTTGGTTTTTGTGCATGGTGTGAGGTAGTAGTCAAGCTTCATTTTTTGTTTTCTGTTTTTTTTTTTAAATATTTATTTATTTATTTATACATACAAGCACTGGGTACAGTCAGAAGTGCGGGAGGGTGAAAGAATTCACCAGAGCCAGAGCAGGGAGCAGAGCAGGCAGAAGGACCAAAGTACACTGCTGAGGGGAGCAGCGGGCGGCAGGAGAGGTCTGCACGCCATGTGGGACCCTCCTCCGGTGGCCAGGGAGCATCCAGGGATCGAACTGGCGCTGCAGAGGCTGCGGGCAGCTTCTCAACCCAGAGCTCAACCGCTGCGCCATCGGGGAGGCCCCAAGCTTCATTCTTTTGCATGTAGCAACCCAGTTTTCCCAGCACCATTTATTGAACAAACTTTCTTTGCTCCAGTGCATATTCTTTGCTCCTTTGTCAAAGATTAGTTGACCATAAATCTGTGGGTTTATTTCTGGATTTTCTATTCAATTCCATTGGTCTGTGTGTCTGTTCTTGTTCCAATACCATGCAGTTTTGATGATTATGGCTTTGTAGTATAGTTTGAAGTCTGGCAGGGTGAGGCCTCCATTCTCTTCTTCTTTTTTTTTTTTTCAGAAGAGCTTTGGCTATTCGGGGATTTTGGTGAATCCATATGAATTTCATCAATAATTGTTCTATTTCTTTGAAGAATGTCATTGAAATTTTTTATTGGAATAGCATTGAATCTGTATATTGCTTTTGGTAGGATGGCCATTTTGATAATGTTAATTCTTCCAATCCATGAGCAGGGGATATCTTTCCATTTCTTTGTGTCTTCTATTTCTTTTAACAGTGTTGTATAGTTTTCTTTGCATAGGTCCTTTACCTCTTTTGTTAGGTTAATTCCCAAGTATTTAATTTTTTTTGCTTCGATAATAAAAGAGATGGTTTTCTTGATTTCTTCTTCTTCAGATTTTTTGTTTGTGTATAGGAAGGCTACTGATTTTTGCGTGTTGATTTTGTATCCTGCCACTTTACTAAACTGACTGATGAGTTGAATTAGTTTTTCTGTGGAGTTTTTGGGGTTCTCTATTTATATTATCATATCATCTGCAAATAGTGATAGTTTAACTTCTTCCTTCCCTATTTGGATTCCCTGTATGTCTTTCTCTTGTCTTACTGCTCTGGCTAGGACTTCCAGTATTATATTGAAAAGCAGTGGTGAGAGTGGACATCCTTGTCTTGTTCCAGATCTTAATGGAAATGCTTTCAGCTTTTCACCATTGAGAAAGATACTGGCTGTTGGCTTGTCATATATGGCCTTCATGATGTTGAGGTATGTTCCTTGTATCCCAAGAATTTCAAGGGCTTTTATCATGAATGGGTGTTGTACTTTGTCAAAAGCTTTCTCAGCATCTATTTATATTATCATTTGGTTTTTATATTTCTTTTTGTTGATGTGTTGGATAACACTGATTGATTTTGGATGTTGAACCATCCTTGTGTCCCTGGAATAAATCCTACTTGGTGTGGTGAATTATCTTATGGACACAGTGTTGGATTCTGACAGCTAAAATTTTATTGAGGATTTTTGCATCCGTGTTCATTAGAGAGATTGGCCTGTACCTTTTTTTTGTGTTTTCCGTGTTTGGTTTTGGTATTAGTGTAATGTTGGCTTCATAGAATGTGTTTGGTATTATCCCTCCCTTCTCAGTTTTTTTTTAAAGATTTATTTATTTTTATACAAAAACTGGGGTACAGGCCAGATGCATGAGATTGAGAAGATTCACCAGATACAGAGCGGGAAACAGAACAGGCAGACTGACGAAATACACCACTGAGGGGAGCAGTGGGCATGTCAGGAGAGGTCTGCTTCACCATGTGGGATTCTCCCCGGCCTGCTGGGATTGAACCCGCACTGCAGAGGCTGCGGACAGCTTCACAGCACGGTGCTCAACCACCTGTGCCACAGGGGAGGCCCCCCTTCTCAATTTTTTGAAAGAGTTTGTGAAGGATAGGCACTAATTTGTTTCCGGATGTTTGG